GCCAAAATCGGTGCCTGCTATATGCACACATTGTGATAGTCAATCAGCAATAAGTAGAGCACAGAGCCATATAATGGTAAGTCGCGACACATTCGTCGTCGACATAACATCGTGAAAGAACTACCCTTTAATGGAATTATTTTCATTCAAAGGCAGAGAGCTCGATCTCTTTCTTTCAGACTCCATGATTATGCTTTCCTGTCATAAAGGTTTCAAAACCACTATTGTTCAATTTTATCTTACAATAAAATTATTCAAAAAATGTATATCTATAAATAACAATTATTTTGAGTGTGATTAACATTTCGTAAATTCTAAATTTATTCTATTCATTTTATTTTCAAGATAAATTTTAGAACAAATTTGTGGTACATAAAATTTTTCCAATTGTACCATACTAAACTTCAAAGACAAATGGGAAGATGGTTAAAAGTTATCTTCTAACTTTTAATCTATTTTGGATCACATCATTTCTCATATTTTTTATACATTTTTTCAAAAAAAAAAAAGAGCCAAAAATAGGAGAAGATTTTACCTATTTTCTCAAAACAACCCAAAATTGTCTAAAATTAAGGCTGTAATTCGGCCAAAATTGCTTAGTTTGAGGGATTGCCCAAGCCTAATTCTCGAGTTGTGAAACCCATCTAACCTTGACTCTAAACTTGAGCTTGTCAACTCAAGTCGAACTGAAGGCAATAAATTGAACTAAAGGTAGACTCAAGCTAATGACATATTTGAACCGGGTTATTTTTTTATTTTTTTTTTGGGTTAATTTTTTTAAAGAAAATGCATGAAAAAATGTATAAAAATATGTAATCATGTTTTGGAATATGTGCTAAAAGTATATTGAGTTTTTAATTATAAAAAATGATGTGGACTCCTACTGGCATGTGATTGACCATTTTTTTTGTTTTTTTGTTTTTTAATTAGCATGACTTTTTTTTTTTTTTTCAAAAAATTGAGTCTTATTAAGATTGAAAAAATAAAATAAAACAATCATAAGTCTACATACTTGAGTCAATCTAACATTTTAGATAATTTTTGTATAATGAAACCGCTAATAGTTTACATTACATTTAACATTTTTAATATATTGACATGTATAATTTGGGTTTCAAAATGTTCAAATTTCTAAGTATATCTCTCCAAACTTAATCCCAATTTAATTTAGACTTTTTAACTACCCTTTGATCACAATAAAATTTGAAAATATGTTGTCCTGGTCCAAAAAAAATACTTAAATAAATAAATTATTCAGATTAGGCCCGGGTTTCTCAGTTGGGCCACCCAAATTGCACCCTTACCCAAAATGTAAAAGAGAAAAGTTAGGCATCATGAAATTTTTTTCATGAAAATGATCCTGAATGATTTATTACCTTGATTAGTGTGCGGTGCCTTATTTCTAAGTGTAATCCAAGGGTCACAAAATTTTCATGATTATTTTCATAAAAGATTTTTCATAATACCTACATTGCTGAATGTAAAAAGATCGCCTTATTGATCAAATTTATTTACTTATACTTGGTGCTTATTTTTTACCTATAAATATCTCAAAAAAGTATTGAGACAAATTAAATATTTTAAAAATAGGTATTTAGGTCCTCACATAAAACTCTAAACTGGCTAATTTATGATAGAGATCACACACCTGACTGCTCTTCATTAGTAGATCAGAAATAGCTCTGAGATGTTCTTCCTCAACTTTCTTTTTTGACCTCCAGTAAGCCTCAATCCCTTCATTTGTCAATGACTGGTTCCTCTGGATTTCCGCTGCAAAATCACACTTCTCCATCAGAAAAACCATTAAGAAGAGTATTGTTTTGTATGAAACCAAAAACAAAGAAATTGCAAGGTTACCAGTTCTAGGATCAGGGACTTGTGAGTCCCAACCTGCCATTAGAGAACCCATTTGCCGAAAATCTTAAATTCCTTAACCAAATACAATTTTGTGTTCATTCTCAGGTAGTCAATATATATCTTATATAGAGATGATGACAGGTAGTCAATATATATCTTATATACAGATGATGACGTTGGTGGTGGCCCTCAGATTTTCTTGATCTTATCCCCCAAATATTTTATGTTAGTGAATAATATTTGGGAATTTTAATGTAGTATTAATAATGTGGAGACTATTCATATAAAAATAAGGTCTATTGTCACATTAATACCTTTAGTAATACTAAAAAATTGGATAAATTATAAACACACTCATTGAGATTTATTTAAATTATAAATTATCTCATGTGATTTAAAAATTACATTATGCCCCTAAAAGTTTTTAATTTCATAATAAATATATCTTTTTTATTAATAAACCATCAAGTTAATCAACAGTTTTTAATAATGTTAAAATTTTATTACAATTAATAATTCAGGTAATTTTATTATTATATAGGTGAAGAGATAGAAATTTCACTTTTTCAATTAAATCTATTAAATAAAAAATTCTGATAAGAAGGTATTTGTAGTTTTCTAAATCACAAGGGACAATTTATATTTTAAGAAAATCTCAAAGAATGCATTTATAATTTATCCATAAAAAATTTGTTTCGTCACCGGCGGTTGAGATATGATACAAAATATAAATCACTCAAAAAAATAATTTTGTTCACATTTTAATAAATAAAAAGGCAAAATTATAAATATACTGTTTGAGATTTAATTAAAATATAAATTACTTCTTATGGTTTGAAAAATTATAAATATTTTCTTGTCAGAATTTTTTATTTAACAGAATTAATTGAAAAAATAAAATTTGTAATTGTTCTCATATACAATAATAAAACTATCTAAATTATTAATTGAAATAAAATTTTAATATTATTAAGAGTTATTAATTATGTTAATGATTTATTAATAAAATTGTCTATTTATTAAGAAATTAAAAACTTTAGATATAATTTCTAAAAGTACCATTGCCGCAGGGCTGCTCACTCATAAAAATAAAATTATGAAGCTTAAACCTAAAATTTCTAATACACCCAATTAAAGCTTATGATAAAAGCAATCATCCAAATAGTTGAAACTTCATTTTTTTTTTTTCCCCCTTTTTTTTTTTTTTTTTTTAATAAAAAAATTAATACATTGCAGATTTGATAATAAGGAGTTGTTTGGAATGAATTAAATAAATATATTTTTTATTTTTTTACGAAAAAATATATAAAAAAATAGAGAAGTGATGTGATAAAAAAAAAAAAGATAAAAAGACATATTATTTTATGTATGTCAAACTTGATCTTAAAATTGTGAATTCTGTTATTTTAGATTAATTACAAAATATATTTTATTTATGTGAATAAAATTAGGATGTAGACAACGTGTCAGATACACATCATAGGTACATGAATGAAATATCATTCTTTGTTGTTGTTGTTGTCACCTTGCATGTATTTCATACTTTTGTTGTATCTCTGTGTGCTGGAACTTGGTCACACTGATCCAAGAAAAGGCCAATCTATAAAGTCCAAAGCTATCTCTAACACTTTAACACTGTGGGCTGGAACTTTTGTATCATCTATCACATTATTAAGCCTATGTTTGGGAGGAAGGTTTTGTGGTTTTTTTTGGTTAAAATAGTCACAAAAAATAAAATAAGATTTTTAGTTTAATAAGATAAAATATCACACTCAACTCATAATTATTACATTCTTTCTCTCACAAAAACACTAAAAAAGCCACAAATCTTTCCTAAACTAGACTTTTTAGTCCCAGACTAAAATAGTCAAAAAAAAATTAAAAAGTCAAAAAACCAACCCACTTTCCAAACGAAACCTAAGTCAAGATAATTTAATGTTCAAACCATCTTCTCATCCAACATATCATGTTTTTTTATTTTTTTTACAAAAAAATTATATAAAAACGTGTATAAGGTTTGAATTCAAGATTTAGATATTTATTAAAAAAACTAGTACTACTTAGACAATATATATATTATAATATAATTTCTTTAGTACTCCATCCATCTTAAAATATTAAGTTTTTTTTAAAGAAATTTAACTTTTTTGATAGTATAATTATTATATTTCAAAATATTAACTTTTCAAAACTACTTTTAGTAATATAATTATTACACTTAAAAAATATTAATGCTCATGAATTTAAAAGAAGGAAAAAATAAGAAATTTATGTTATTTTGGTTCTTAAATTTTGAAAAATAATTAATATTTTGGAATAATGAAAAATGAAATAAATGACTAATATTTTAGGACAAAGAGAGTATTTATTTTTATTCTTACTTATTTGAATTCCACTAGTATTAAATAATGTTAAAATTGGTGTCCAAGCCTTCTTCTCATGTCACAAGATAGATTTTTCTATATATCCTAAAATCAAGTGTCCAAGCCTTCTCATCATGTCACATGGTAAATTTTTCTATCTTAAAATAAAAAGTTATTCAAAGAAATAGTACACAAGGTTTAAACCCAAAATTTTTATTTTCATTAAAAACGCTCTTACTATTTAGACAATATATATGTTATAATACTAATTATTATTATTATTATTTATTTAAATTGCACACATTTTATGTGTCACACCCACTAACATAAAATATTTACATAGTTCTAATATTAGAACTCTAATGCTGTGTTCGGTTGGAGGATTTGGAAAGGAAAATGGAAAAGGTAGGTGAAATGTGAATAAATCATGTCTATATTTCACATAGTTTCACACACCTTTTCCCTTTCCCTTTCCAAATCCCTCCCCAAATCCCTCAACCAAACACACCATAAATAGATCTCTAGTGAGGTGAAAGAGAGAGAGAGTAGAGAGAGATAGAGAGAGTGTAAACCCTACCTTCACATGAGCATTCTCCACATCATTCACTACAAGAAAAGTGAGATTTAATGACATTTATTTAACGACGTTTTTTAAAGTGCCATCTTTTTTTAATATTTAACGGCGTTGATAATGTCACATTTTTAAAAAAATAAAACGACACCGTTTTTATTAGAGAGGGCGTTTAAAAGGGCCTCCAAGTGTCCAACCCTCCCACCCTACGCTCTCTTTTTTTTCAAATGACTTATTTTAGGACCCAAAACACTCGCTACTCTCTCACTCACTCTCTGGGTCTCTCTCTCAACCCTCTCTAAACCCTAACCTCTCTTAACCGATCAAATCAACCTTCTTCAGCCCTGTTTGATCCAATCTTAGAGCGATTGGCGATTTCAATTTTGATTTCGAAGTTCTCTCTCTCCCTCTTTCTCCCTCGATTTCGAAGCTCCACTGCCTCCACCATCCGCACCGGCGAGGGGAACGAGCACTAGCGTCTACTAAGGTGAGCACCACCGTCTCTCTCTCAGTTTTGTATTCTCTCTCTCTCTCTCTCTCTCAAGCTCTTCCTTCCCGTCGAGTTTGGTCAGATAATGAAAGATCTCGATGTTTCGATTGAACATACAGAGAAGTTTTCCATGGTTACGAAAGATATGTGTGTGTTTTCTTTTCTGAAAGTTATTTTGATGGAAAATAGATCTAGAAAAATCGGTGAGTTTCTTGCATTTTGAGTTGATGACGTTGAGAGTTTTTCAGAGAGAGAGAGGGATATAGAGATGACTGCTTCTTCTTCCTGATTCCCGCATTAGGGCTTTGGCGATGCATTGATTGAAGCCTCGATCGTCATCACTTTTACATTTGTTGGTAATTATTCCCAGAATATTTAAAAATAATAATTTATTTTTTATATTTTTAGTGTTGTGTTTGGGTTTACAATCAGTGTTTTGAAGGAGTTTTTAGAAAGAAAAAAAAAACCTGATAAATCTAGTTGTAGTGATAGACAAATTTTCTTCTAATTTTCTGGTTCATATAAGTACAATGTTGATTTGGTTGTTGATTTTCCTTTGTGCAGATAAGGATCAAGAATTGGGGGAAGCCTTAGAGAGAAGGCAGTTGAAGAGGTTCTCTTCTATATGTCTTCTCTCTTCTATGTAATTGCCATTATATATATATTTTTAATATAAATAAATGCTAGTCTCAATTCATCTGAATTGGTCAACTCTATATAACTTACAATTAGTCAAATTTGTGTTGTATATTTTGTTTGTTCTTATTAAAGATTGGAGCTCTCTCAATACAGAGCTACTGTGTTGATTATGAATGAAATTGATGTGAAATATCACCATTTTCTTAAGTAGATTATATGCATGTTTGTCTATGATTGTGGTAGAATGATGATGGATATGTATGCTTGCTTCTGCAGAGTTCCGAATGGGCAGAGACCCCCCAAATGGCAAAGGAAAATAGAGGGAGTACCTCAACGATCATTTTTAGTTCAAGGGTGTGTGACAATGTCTAGCTTGAAGTTGGGAACTTGATACGCACTCACTCTCCATGGTATGAACGATACAATTTACTTGTATCTTCTGCATGACTTTACTCATCGTGGTGTAATACAAAACAAATAATGGTAGGGTTAGATATCACCATCAAGGTGTGCTTAGTGGTATCTTATGGTGCTTGTGGTACTATTCCATTACTGATTGTCAACGCAGAGAATGAAATAGTGCTGCAACAAATAATGGAAGGTGAGTGGTTTGTTGTTAGATTATGGATTGGTTGTGCTGCAACACTATTCTCCGTTTCTAATTTTTCTTCTTACTCCAGAGATCAAGAGACTTCCTTGTGTACATGGGTCTCAACGCAGAAAATGAAATAGTGCACACATCCTTGCATTTTTGGCCGGTGTTATGTTTTGGTCATAGGTGCACATATCAACCTTCTTTTTGATTTGAAGATAATGAATGTTTGGTTTACTTGTTGTGATGTGCCATATTCTGTTTTAAAAGTGAATTTCTTCAAATTATGTCTTTAGAATCATGTTAACTGTATTTAAGCAGCCAAGGAGCTTCAGTTAGACCTTAGATGTGTATAAGCTTGTTGTGATGCATACAAAGTTTCCTTTTTTAATTAGGCAATAACATGTTGATGGAGATTGTATGTGGGTTGTAGCCAATTGAAAGGCTGGGTATACCCACTGCTGGATTTGCTTAACAAGATGGTACTTGTTTCAGATATTAATGCATTAATTCGTAACATTTCTTTCTTTTTTCTTCTCTCTCTCTCTCTCTCTCTCTCTCTCTCTCTCTCTCTTTTATTTTTTTTATTTTTTATTTTTTTAAATTGTCATAATGAAATATGTCGTCAAAGATTCTGTGGAGGTTCTTAGGTGGCAGTGTGTGAGATAACAGGTTCCTTGCCAAAATATTCACTGGTTGGGTATGAAGTAATTAGGTCATGGGTTAGTAAGGATGAGGATCAAGGGAATATTTGTTGGGTTGGATTGGGTTGACACTTGAATATAAATTGGTTGATTTGGGTTGAGGATGCACATATTTGTGCCAATGTCCTGCCCACAAACTGTTCTAACTTGTTTTTTGTTGGGTTGGGTTTGGGTTTGGGTTTGGGTTTATACTTGAATATGAATTGGTTGATTGCTTATATTTGGATCAGTGTCTTGCCCACAAACTGCTTAAACTTATTATAGGTCGAGGCTAGCTAATTTTCTTGGTTTGGTTGCACCTGATGGAATGGATACATCATATTTGGCATGATTTTTTTTTAAAAAATTAATGTGCATCCTCATAAGTGGATGCATTGAAGTAACAATATTCCTATTGCATTCAAACTAGTTGATATTCATTATTTTTGGAATCTTTGCAGATTACTAACTTGCCATTTTCTCTATACTCAACATTTGTCATTGAGGCCCGCCATGGTTTCAACAAAGTTTGTACTCTCTCATTACTGATTGTCATGTTCATACATTGTTATTTCCTACCTTAAAAATTTAGTTGTTACACTCTTGCTCTTGTTTTGCTGAAGTAACAGCAAACAATAATGGCCCTTTTGCTTTGCTTAACTTCATCAACCACATTCAGTAACCTTTTCTTCAATATTGGGATAGTTAGGTTGTTCAGTTGGTGGCTTATGTGGGTGGTACACCTTGCAAGAGATATCATTATAAATGAAACTATCATCATTAACAATTAGGGTCTATTCCTATGTAATGCAATGCTGTTGTTAGTGGGAATTCTGGCTTAATTTTTAAGTTAAAAAGAATTTTTTTTTTCTTTTTCTTTTTTTCCCATTCCTTTTATTTTCTAATGGGGCACTTGTGTCTTCTCATAACCCTTGTCATATTTTTGCAAGAGTCTTATATTATAATGTGGAGGTTATAGTCTAAATGAGCTTTCATTCTTATGTTCTAGGTTTTATTGACTTGGAAACTTCACATCATCCTAGTATAAATATGATCTATTATCTTTACAAAAGTTGCTTTAATTGGTTTATATTTTATGTAACAAGTGCTATAAAAGAATCGGACGAGCTTGTGACACCATCTGCCTAATTCTTTACCTTTGGATACATGGATCAGAGTAGTTAACTTGCCTTGATATATGGTTTTTATTGTACCCTTCATTATAGCCTACTGTTTGCTTACAGTATTACTAGTTTTCTGAAAGGCCCCATTTGTTTTCAGAAGTAGAATGGAGGGAATTCATAATAGTTAGAAGATTGTTAGTGAGGGGATTAAGTAAAATTGTGTTTATTTTGGTGATATTTGTTAGTGTAGGAATTGTTAAATTATTTTTATATAAAATAATAAAACAAATAAAAAAATACAAAAAATTAAACATTAATGTTCAAAAAAAAATTCTCAATATATAAAAAATTAAAAAGTTTCTAATCCCCTAATTATTTTTCTAATACCACCTCCATCTTCTCCATCCCAATCCTCCTTCCAACCTCCATCTTAATCTCCTTCTCCATCATAATCCCTTCCCCAACTCTACAAACAAACACAGCACTAAATAATCCCACCTCTATCCTAATCTCATTTCATCATTTACACCCCAAAACAAACGGAGCCAAAGATCTTAGGGCCTCATCTTAAAAGTTGCATGGCATTTTCTTATAGGAGCACCCTAAAACATTTATTTATCTGCATAGCCAATTCATGCTGGTTAATGGGTTGCATGCAAACTTGCTTGGTGGACTGGGTAGTGATAGACGCAATATTTTCATTTTGATAGATATTTGGGTGATATTCAAGAATCTATATCGAAATAATTGTTAGAATGGTTTGCAATGGCAAAGCAACATTCTATGGTTCTTCATGAGTGGTTGCAGAACCATAGGATCTGGTGTGTTTGGCATGTCTTTCTTTATTTTTTGTCTGGCTTGTCTTTGGCATGTTTGTAGACACTTCAATGTAAATTCTATGAGTGTTTTTAATGCTGCTGCTGTGTTGTTGTTATGATTAGTTTTATCTGTGAGGGAATCTGTTTTTACAGAGCTCATAGTTTCCTGTTGTTGGAGGAGAGGGAACATTTCTAGTTAGTATATGTGCTGGAAAAATAACATTTCCTTTCTAATTAATTATGCTCAGATGAAATTAGTTGTAAACATGCTGGACCTTTGCTTTTTTGACCATACTAGATTGATAAATTTGCAGGAATGGTGATTGACACTTTGTTATACCTTTTCATGCATGTGGGGGACTCCAAAACTTGTGCAGCAAATGCCTACCATACAGGTAAATCTATGGACTTGGTTTTAACTTGGATGATTTTCATGATTTTCCCCCCTCGTAATAATGATAAAGGACCATGTAACAACTGTGGAAGGATGGTAAGAAACAGGCAGATGCGTACTGCTGGACCGAAAGCTGGTGGTTCTCCATGAAAACAATATCGGTTACTGTGTAATACATTGGCATGAAATTTTGTTTGTTCTTTTTGAATGGCTATGAGACGTATTGGCAAGTTGTATAGGGAAGAGGATTAAATCAAATAAAACTAAGTTGTGTCACAATCAGAATTTACTTGGCACCACATTTTATGTATGTTCTCTTGAAACAAATACATTTGATTTTTTTATTTATTTTTATTTTTTGTATTTGTGTTTGTAGTTTGAAGGTCTATTTTCCTTTTGCTACTATACTTGCCAAAGCGTTTTTGAGGGCTTATGCATCATTAAGTATGGGTATATCAATAATTATAGTGTTCATTTTATAAAATAATAATAATGAAAAAATGAACGGTTTATTTTTAAAATCATAGAATTAGCATAATTTCAACAAAAAAAAAAAAAAAATGAAACTATAACGGCGTTTTTCAAAAGCTACTATAGTATTAGTGTTGATGGTTATTTTTTTAAAACAGAAAAAAGCTATCACGACGTTTTTAAAATGTCGCTAAATATTGGCGTGACGTCATTTAATACATTTAGCAGCGTTTTTGAAAACGCCGCCTATACTAATATAACGATGTTTTTAAAGCGCCATAAAGATAAAGCAACGGTCGCATTTTCGACGTTTGGTATTAAGCGTCACAAAAAGAATTGGCGGTGTTTTTGATAGTTATGACTGCGTTTTTTAAACGCCTCTAAAAACCTTCTTTCCAGGAGTGATTAGAGCTGCATTAGAGCTTTTAAATATTATGCCACTGAATAATTATTGAAAAAAAATTTGGGACCCCCTTGGGGGATGCCCCCCACACCCCTAAAATTTTTGGGACCCCCACACCCCCAAAGAAAATGGAATTTTATTAATAAAGAAGTACAAAAGAGCTTGGCACGATTGCATCATAGATCAAAAATACATCCTAAATAGGTTGACACATATTAGAGAACACGATGTGCAGGCACAAGTCGAAAGAAAGCATTCAACCGGAAGAGATACACAGAATAAAACAAGCAAAGAACAAAATTTTTTTTTTTTTTTTTTTTTTTTCTCCATACATTTTCATGAGCCTCATCTTGTATGTGGACTCCACCTAAATTGATATGGACTCCGCCTAAAATAGAGTGTGTATAATAGAATTTCTCTATACATAAAATAATTATCATCTGTAAATATTTTTTTAAAAAATTTGTAGCATTGTTCTAAATAAAAATAAGGCAAAATTCATTTTACTCCGACGTAATTTTGATCATTTTATAGTTAACCTTCCCACCGTTATTTATTCTGTTAAACTTGCTAGATTTTATGAAAAATGCGCCAACATTGAGAATGGATATGAAAAAAAATATCAAATTTTATTGTAAAAGTCAAATTTGTCCCTTTTTCATCTTCTTCCTACTTCAAAACTCTAAACCTAAAACAACCAGCACCTCTTTCTACCTCCCTATCTCACATGTCCAACAATTTTCTCTCTCAAAAGTTGTTGCTAGCTCATTGAAGTTTGCAATGAGTGTGGACATTAAGTTTAATCTTCCCTTAATAATAAATATAGATGGATAAATAGATAAATAGAAGATAGATGTTACAAAGTGTTAGAGATAGCTTTGCACTTTATAGATTGGCCTTTTCTTGGATGAATGTGACCAAGTTCCACTGTAGACTAAAAATATTGTGGCTAAATATTCTGGCAACCCACAGAGATACAAACAAGAGTATGTAATACATGCAAAGTGACAACAACAACAAAGCATGCTATCGGGGGGTGGTGGCCAGTGGTGAAGGCTTTGTCTTCCCTAGCAATGAGTCAAGTTCGACTCCAGGGGGTACAACATGCTGGGTATTTTCTAGTGGTTCTCTTCGGAGATCTCGCGCTATACTCCGATCCAACCTTGGTTGCTGGAGATGGTTGATGAGCTTTGCTGGTGACTCTGTTGTGGGTCCCTTCTTATGGGTTGAGTCAAATCAAGCTAGCAACCGGTTATCCTAGGGCTTGGACCCATGGATGCCATCAGGACACTTCAAGATATACTTTTTTCTTGTTAAAAAAAAAGAAAAAGAAAAAAAGCATGATATTGAATACATGTATGGATGATGTTTACCTAACACGTGTTCATAGTTGTCTACATCCTAATTTTATTCATACAGTTGATAAAAAGGTATAAATAAAATATAATTTGTAATTAGTCTAAAATAATAGAATTCACAATTTTAAGTAGAGTTAATGTACTTTTTAAATAAGAGGTCCACTAGTTTAGATCAATTAAAAGTTATGTTTTGTTTACTGAAGTGTGAACAAAATTATTTTTTGAGTTGTTTGTACTTTGTATCATATCTCAATGGTTGGTGTGGAACTGTTTTTCTTAGCGTTATTAGTGGCATTGATGTGACAGTGGGTCTCTTAGAAATCAACGATGATGATGTGTGCTTGACACTATCAAAAGTGATTCTAAATAATTTGTTATCGTGTGGAAATGTGGTCAAACTTAACTAGGCTTGTGAAAAGGCCACCTCAAAATTTATGTCCTCTCTTATGTATTTTAGTATAGTCTCAAAATTTTTATCCCTATAAAAGGGGAGAAATTAAGACATTGACTTAATTATTGAAGTCGTCTCAATGAATATGGGTCAAAGCTTAAGAAAAATGGGTCAACTAGGAAATGGAACCAGATTGACCTGCTTGGCCCAAATGGGCCAAGAGCAAAGTATCCATGAGAACTCGCTAAGGAACTACTTGTTGAGGCCGAGTTCTTGGAGCAAACTCTACCACAGTGCCGCCATTTTGTTATGGCGCCGCCTTCGATACTTACCAAGAGGAAGAAAACCGAGGCAACTCCAACCTCCGCGACTATCTCCTGAGGCACAGTTCCCCGAGGTGATAGTACCCTTTGAGAGAGACTTCCTCTATACAAAGTAAAGTACATATATTTGGCACTAATAGCAGATCCCAAGGTATTAGCAGGTTAGGGCTGACAGCAGGTCCGAAGAACACATAGCTTGACTGTAACGCCCAAAAAATATAGCAATAAAACCATCTCACAATATTAATTAAATAAAACATGTACCAAATTAATTATCTTTCATTCATATGATTCCATTGTACAAAAAGTAACACGTGCAATTATACATTTATAAGTCCTGACCCTGAATTTATAGCATGTGCCACAGACAAATGATATGAAATAAAAGTCAAAACAGATTGATTAATGACCTAATGGCTACAATTTTCCAAGACGATGCTTGGTTACAATAAAAGTGAGTTTTAACTCAATATAGTTTTAAGCCCTAGGCTTGTACAAAAATAATTACAACAATAATAAAAAGGAAGCTCTTGGTTCTAAGTCCTTCTAAGCTACGGCCTTGGTGGAGGCATATCATCAGCACCTGAAAATAGTTTTCTATATAGGGTGAACCAAAACCCAATAGAGATACTCTAACACAGTGTATGAATCTTGACAAAGTTATAAGGTGAATGCATATATAATGCTCGTGTCAAAATGTTTTACATCTTTTTCCAAAAACCATGCAATGCCAGATTATATCACGATTCATGAGATCATTTTCTTTACAATAGAAAACAGGGCAGTGGATACAACACTGGGAATGTCTAGGTACATGTTTGTAAGTAGGCTATACAAGCATTACTAATTGCCATTTTTATTGGTACTAATCGGAAGGCTCGACACCCAACTGTGCAAGTTTCTGGACTTTTACTGAGGACACATAGGCCAACAATAATACCATAACCACACCCTTTACTTAGATTCACCAAGGTATTCACCCATTTTTCTCAAAACAATATACATTTTCAATGTGTTAAATATGCAACAACGCTCAATGCAAAATAGATGAGAAATTAGTTTCAATTCTCTTAATTCTCATGCAATTTCTACAACAATCATAGCTATCCTTCACTGATAGCCCAAAACAGATATCTTTAAACATATAGATAATTTTCAATAAAGAAAAACCTTCCAAAATGTTAAGATGGAAGTGATAATGCATATTCAACTCCACCATTATCATCATCATTCCAATTTCAGAAAACTCACATCATTTCCATTTCTTCTTTACAAAATCAAATATTTAAATTTTAGGTAAAAATCCCATTTTCTTTATAAATCAATTCTAAGGGCAAAAAGCCATCATTTTATCATAACCCAACCACATTTTCAATTCCACAACCATTTTCAAGGATCCATTTGAAAACACCTCTTTTGATTTTAAAATCAAAACCCTAGATTTTTATTCAAAAATCCTCAAATTAAAATCTTGTTTAGAAAGCCAAACAACTAAATTAAAAATCATATTAAAGTGTAGAGAATCCCTACCTCAGAGCTAGACAATAAGGAAGAGAGTGAAGAAACCTCGATGAAACTGAAAACCAACTTTGTTCCGATTACAATGAAACTCTAGGTGAGCTCTATCTTTTTATCAAAGTAACTAGAGTGTAGAGATCAATAGATTAAGAGTATTTAGAGATTGAATGTGAGTTTTAGAGAAAGAAAGTTTGGATTTAGGGATTTGAAATGTTTAGAAAGAAAGAGATATATAAAAAAGTGGCTCAAAAAATGAGTTTTGCGAACTGATAACAAACCAGTTCTAGGATCAAGGACTTGTGACTCCCAACCTGTCATTAGAGATCCCATTTGCCGAAAATCTTAAATTCCTTAAACCAAATACAATTTTGTGTTCATTCACAGGTAGTTAATATATATCTTATCCCTCAAATATTTTATGTCAGTGGGTGTCATATGTAAAACGTGTGTAATTTAAATAAATAATAATAAAAATAAATAATAAAAAAATTAATATTATAATATATATATTGTCAAAATAGTAAGAGTATTCTTAATGAAAATGAAGGTCTTGGGTTTAAACTTTGTGAACTATTTCTTAAATAACTTTTTATTTTTAGATAAAAAAATCTACCACATGAGGAGAAGCTTTGGACACTTTATTTTAGGATAGAAAAATTTGTCTTGTGGTATAAGGAGAAGATTTGGACACCAATTTTAACATTTATTTAATACTAGCAGAATTCAAATAAGTAAGAATAAAAACAAATACTCTTTCCGTCCGAAAATATTAGTCATTTATTTAATTTTTTATTATCCAAAAATATTAGTTATTTTTTAAAAATCAAAGACTAAAATTAACATGAATTTCTTATTTTTTTCCTTCTTTTAAATTTTATTAACTTTAATATTTTTTTTAG